ATAAAATCGGTTTTTTGAAAGTCACGTGTAAAAAAATCTGTCGCATCTGCGATACCATTTCCGAATTCGCTCAGTATAATGATAATCTCGCCAACAGAAACATGTTTTTTGTTTATTGTGTGCCAACCAAAAATTCGGCCCAGTCGCCATTTTTGACAGGTCGTTCGATTGCCTATTGTCTACTTCACCGGCGTATACAAGGGGGGGGTAATGGGGGTAATTACCCCCCCCAAGATCGTTACGATGGACGAAAAAAATGTACCCTACACCTTACAAATAAATCTATTTTTTATATTTTTACTTTTCAGCAACTGGCCCTAACTTGTTTTCTAGTTTGCACAGTGTCCGCACTGCCCGCATGCCATTTATAGCGAATTCTATTCAAAGGGATAGTGCACACTGAGTGTATTCATATCTTTCTCTACTAGCTTGCATAAGAAAGAGATAAATACATTTTTTGTATCAATCCTACCAATAGAATTCGCTATGCCTATAATTGAATAGTTTTAGGCGATTCTCATAGCGAATTCCATTGGTAAAATCAGTGAGAGTGTTTTTTTATCTCTTTCTTATATAAGCTGGTAGAATAAGATACGAATACACTCGGTGCGCACTAACCTTTATTCCAATGGAATTCGCTATCAGAGTTCGGTTTCGTTATTTGTTGGTAGTACAGAATATATTTACCTAACAAGTGCGAAAAATGAATTTTTCCGCACGAGTCTGTCGTTCACCCAAAGACGCGTAGCGGAATTCGGTGAAGCAGCCAAGTTCGGAAGACAGATTTTCCGCATGTGTTAGGTACATATACCCAAGGATGATGCACACTACTACTACTACAGGATGGCTTATCCTGATAAGGCCTGTTTGTAAAAAATCCCCCTTTACCCCCCTTAGCCAAACAACCAGTTGTGTCGTAAGCAGTATGGCGTTTCTCGCCTTGACGTAGGCTGTTTAAACAGCTGAAAACTTAGTTATGACGTCGACAATGGTTGAAAACAGTTGAAAACCAATACCTATGGCGGCGATTACCAAAAACGAGAAAGAGTTGTTTCAGAATATTAATTAATGTAGTGAAACTAAGTTTTGCATAAAGGAAAAGCCCGCGGAATCATAATCTGTGGTACAAACACCCTACGTAAAGACGAGAAACGACACGCTGTCTACGTCATCACTGATATTTTGGCATGGCAGCGGCGGCTTCAGATTGAACTACACAGGCCTTATGAGGATAGACTATCCTATAGTAGTAGTGTATAGTATCCTTGCAGGAAACTGAGGTCCAAAAGTAACCTCTTTTCCAGGAACCAGTAATTAGTGATTCGATTACTTTCGGAACGCTTTTCTGTAGTTGCCACATTTTTATTTTTCGTTGAGGAATTATGATCAGGAGCATTAACCCTCAGATTTGACTGGATTTATGCCCGATTGCACCATCTCTCTTAACTGAGGCTTAACGATAACTATCCCTTAAATTGACAGTTTTGCATGGGAAAATGTCACTTTGAGGAATAGTTATCTCTAAACCTCGGTTAAGAGAGACGGTGCAATCGGGCATTAACGATTTAACCCATTTCCCAAAATCACAAAAAAAAATACTTGCTTCTTGATGTTACAGATTGGGTACCAAGATCGTGTGTCAAAATCATGTAATTGTGAAAAATGAAAGCGTGTAAAAACGTGTAATTTTACCAGCATATCGTGCAATTTCACAAATTCAGATTGACAACACTGCCTTGCATATACCTACATAATTTGTAGTCATTTATTGATTTTTTTTTGACAGCCATGCGGAAAAGATTTAGATTTTTCCGCACCGATATCCGTGCGGAAAAAAATTCGCCGCACCGTGCGAGAAAATCGTTTTTCCGCACTGTTTAATTGTCCTCACTCTCGTAGAAAAAAAAATTTTTGAAGGCTCAAAGTAAACGTTTTTGGGCGTGGCACCCGGGAAAAAATGGGCTGATTACCCCCCCCAGACGCATGGGCTGGATACGCCGGTGGTCTACTTGGTCAAAAACAATCAATCTATAGGATAAAATAAATAAAGTTCGTTTCACCAGGGTTCATACTTGGCCTTGAAACTTGAAAAAAAAAAGGGTTGTAGATTATTTCATATGATACATTCAATTTTTTTGACAAATTAAAATGAATGACTTCTGGTTTAAGAACCGACGAAAGTTTTTGACGTTATTGATTTGTTTCAGTCAATTTCTATTTGTTAACAAGGAAGGCAAATGCTGGTGACAAGTACAAACCCTGGTGAAACAAACTTTAGATATGTCTGTATAATATTAAATTATTGCTCGGTTTATTCAAGTTCAGATAGACTTACTGGTAACTGTCTACAACATAAATTCACCAATCTATAATCCTGTTGGTCGGCGGATAACTCGCAGATCAAAAGGTACCTAGGTATAATAGATTGCGTTATTATCCATCATATTGCATTTCTTGACACCTGGATCCTTATTCTTGAAAGAGGGGAGCAGCGTTCCCGAGAGAACGAGTGTTCCGTCTTTATCACTTATGTTATCATTTGCATATCATTGAGAAAGACGGAACACTCGTTCTCCTGGAAACGCTGCTCCCCTGTTTCAAGAATAAGGACCCTGGGAGTTTATCAAAAGATGGATAAATCGGGCCTAAGTAAATTAAATTTCTATAGGTCTATGTTTCTGCAGGAATCACAAACCAGAGTGAATTTCATTGGTTGAAACTAGTTTTCTAACTGTTTTCAGCCAATGAAATTCGCTCTGACTGGTTTGTGATTTCTGCAGAAACAGACCTTATATGAATTCACCTTCCTCAAGTCAAAATGCGCACGCAATTTTTCAATCTAAACATAACTTCGTATCAATAATTTTTCCTTTATTCGGCCGAATACCGAATAGCGAAAAAAACGCCGAATAGGCCGAATACCGAATAATTATTTGGCAGCGGTCACATCTCTATTCATAACATTTTTTTATTTACCTACTAAATAATATGTAATGCTCTTTCTTTCGTTTATTTATAATTTTAGGCCGGCCTGGCGGTGGAAATAGTAGGCGCTCCTATACGATTGTGTATAAAAACGGCCTACAGCAGACTGGTTCCTGGCCAGAGTATTAAAAAAAAATATATGTTATTACCACAGCAGCTTTAATATGTATAAGATTTTTTTTCCGAGGCTTTGGTGAGAAATTTTGCATGGATGATCAATTTTACAAGTGACAGAGTGCAGGTCTGACGCTTACCTTCCACGGCTTCAAACTGGAGTGCCATCTCCCTCCCCCATCTTCACCTGTACCCTAGGCACAAGGTTGTTTGAAAAAGGTAGGTTATCTGATAACTTTTATGACGTCATCTGGGGTGCCTCAACATAATGCAAATCTTCATTAGGCACCTCAGATGATGTCATCTCTTTCCCATTACCAAACAACCCTCACTGGGTGCTTTCACATTTACCCGGGCCAAGTGAACCCAGGTTGTTTTAACGAGGTTGTTACTTCTCCCCCTCCTTCTTTCTAATCCAGGCTTGGGACCGGCAACGGCGAAGTTTTTACATTAGGCGAGCAACCTACACGAAATCCTAAGTCGATCAGCGACAATCTAATAGTCAGACAGCATACTAACCTACAGATAACCTATGTTAGAGATTGATGAAAGAACCTGATTGCGCATCAGACCACCATGTACTGCTTGGAAAAATATTCCAAAGCCGAACAAACGACGAGCAGGTGACAACAGAAGAGTCCAATATCAACTATAATCTTGAAAGCCTTAACGATGATTCAACAAAATTCTTATATCAACTGCAATTTGACAATAAAAGACTATAGTACAGCTAACAATTTGTACGGGGAGATCAAAACATGTATAGGTACACCAAGCAGCAAACGAGGCTCTAGGAGGACAAAAAAAGCCCTCAAGCCAACCAAATAAATTTGCACCTTGGTGGAGCAACACTCTAGAAGTAGGTAGTAAAGGAAAAGAAAGCTGCGTATACGAAATGGCTCGCGAAGATCGAGAAAAATACGTCGACAAAAGAAGGTCACTCCAGCACAGATCAAAAGAGCAAAAAACGACTTCTGGGAAGAATCATGTGACCAAATCAATAGAAGCTCGGGAAATTCGCGAGTAAACAAAGTGAGGAAACTTCTAATTGCATATGAAGATCACTGATTCAGCGGGTATAAACCTCAAAGACCTTGAACAATGGACAAACTACTACAGAGATCTACTAACAGAACATAGATCACAGTTTCAAACTGTTGAAATTGAACACCACGGAGATATACGCCTACTAGACCCCGGTACAAAATACATTAACTCATATAGACGGAAAGAGTCCTGGGCCTAACAACCTAAATATCGAACTGTTAAAAGCCGCCCCAGTAAAACTAATAATAGAGATCCTTTCGAAGATCTTTACCAAATGTCTTCGAGAAGAACAACCGCCCCTAGACTGAAGGGAGGCTTAATCTCATGGATCTTCAAAAAGAGAAACAGATTAGACTGTGAAAACTATAGAGAAATAACCGTCACAAGCTCAGTAGCCAGATTATTGAAAAAAGAGTAGAGAGAGGTAGACGCAAATTCACCTGACCTTTGTGGACTTACAGAGAAAGCCTATGACATGGTGCCACTAAGTAAGTTGTATCCCGCAATGCGTTTAAATGGGTAAGCAACTCATATGTAAATGCTGTCAAAGATCTGTATACAAATACATACAGCAGTCAAACAAGATCGACAACTTCCCGAAAAGTTCCCAACAATAAAAGGTCTAAGGCAAGGCTGCTCCCTTGCTCCACTGCTTTTTAAAATTTATATTGAGAGTGCCCTAAAATCTTAGGTCTTGGGCTTCCAGAGCATTCCTGAAGTCAAGTCCTTCCAAATGAGAAATTGCATTGTATTTGAAATTTGAGCAAAAACACAACGTGATAGCACATTTGCCTCTGTATCATCAAATAAAATTAATAATCATTATGTAACCTAAATAAAAGCACATCCAAGTAATTATTGTTCAACTTGTTTTAATTAAACCCTATAAGAATCAACATTAACATTCAGTCTTTGCAACTTATCATCTATCCAGTTTCTGAATTTTGCCACGTTCGTATAAACACCCGGTATATTTTCTTCTCCACAACCGATACCCCAAGCGACTGTTCCAGTCAGGACGTAGCGGTTTGGATTCGATGGATCTGGACACACCAATGGACTACCACCATCACCCTGTAAAAATAGTCAATGGTTAAAAAATAAAGAAGATCTTTGAATGATTTTCTCCCTTACCGTACAAGTATCTTTTCCACGTTCACCACCAGCGCAAACAAAACTGTAATGCAGCTGAAAAGCTGCACCCAATCGAGTATTTTTTAGTACTCTTTGACATTCATTGAATAGTACCATTGGTAATTCAATTTTTTTCAGAATCACTTGGTATATTCCTTCTTTGCCTGGAAAAAAAATTAATTCTTGCTTGGGTTGATCAAATCATAACGCTTCTCACCAAAAACATTTTTTCCCCATCCGCTAGCCAAGCAATTTCTAGAATTACTGACTTCGTCCTGATTTGGTAAACATATAGTTCCAATATTATTGGCCGAATTAACTGGACTGCTCAAAATCAACAAGGCGACATTATTATATAAAACTTTAGGCACGTAATCTTCGTGTATAATCGCTCTACTAACAGTCCTCTCCTGGTAAGGCCATCTTTCTTTTTCAGTTTGCGTGTCCCATTCACCTGCTCGGACTTTGTATTCATTCAATTTAAGACTAAAATTCATAGAAGAATTGTTGAAGAGATTCCAAAAATCTAAATAAACTCACTCAGCAACACAATGTGCTCCAGTCAAAACCACATTGGGCGCTATTAGCGAACCACCGCACAAAGCTAAATTCTTATGCTTAGTAGGGTCGTAGTTAGTCCTTAAAATAGCTACCATCCAAGGAAATTCACCATATTCAGCTTCGGAATTGCTATTGCCTGTTATCTGAAAATCAATCCCCTTCGGGTTCCTGATACCACAATAAATCGAACTTGGTCTGGGCGTTGAAGGTACCACTTCAGGAGGAGGAGTAACTGGTGAGCTAGTCGAAGGCGGCCTAGGCGAAGGAGTCGGATCAGGATTATTTATTTCAGGTTCCTTCATTGTCTCATTGGGTAGCTTACAGCAAACGTCCAAATAACTTTCGCACTCATTAGCTCCAAATCTACAATATTAATTAGAAAATAATTTAATAAGGACAATTATATTATTCTTACCTGATATCAATCTTACCAAAGCCATCGCTTCTACCGTCTTGTACTATGGTGTTTGTAACTGAATCGCACTGATGGTAAGGGACGCAAACGTTGATTCCTTGACCGGCACCTTCTCCGCATTTGTCCAACGAACCAAAACCGGTGGGTTTCGGGGATGTTACTTCTACCAAATTGACGAAGGGGTCGTGAGTCTGATTATTTGAGTTTTTGAAGAAATCCGTAATGGGATCCTGAGTATTTACTGTTGTCAGAGTGAGAATGGTTAGACATAGTATTTGCATCATAGGTATATCTGAGAAAAAAATGAAAATGATCAGTTTTTGGTTTGCTATAGTAGTCTCAAAGTTGTCGAATTAAAGTGTTTTGGAACGTTCTAAATGGTTTATTGAAGGTCTAAAGTGTTCTAACTTGGCTTGAAGAGTTCTGGAGCATTTTAGGAGTTTTTCAGTATTTTAGAGCCATATTGTCAACTACTAAAGTAAATACCACTCTGTACATCAATTTTACTAAAGTCTGTCGACGAGTCAGCATTTATTTGGTAAATACGAGCACCGAAATCCATTACCGGCAGACTAAGGCTAGTGCGAACTACCTCTAATGGGAAAAGCCCCTCTAGCTAAGTCTCCTCCCAGTGCAAACTACCTTTAATGGGAAACGCCCTTCTGGGAGTATTGAACGCAGCAGACTAGGTTCAGTGCAAACTACCTTAAATGGGAAACGCCCTTCTGGACCTGTCTCAAACCTAGTTTCAGTGTTCAGTCACGCCAAATGTACAGAGGGTACATAATTAATACAGAGTGGCCCATAAGTAGTACGTCCCTCTGTAGAAGAGACGTTATGATACCATTTCTAGGGTAATACTATTATTAATCAATACACATCTTATTATACCTAAGCAAGTTTCTCTCTACCTGAACCCCACCTACGCCCCCAAGTCACGCTCCTGTTGTGACGTCCCAGGACGAAACGTATAGGGGTTGTGACAATATTGAAGCTCCAAAGTGTTCTAAATTGGTTCAAAAGAGTTCTAAAAGGTTATCCAGTTCTAAATTGAATCCTAATTGTTCTGAAATAACTGAAGTTCCTAAATTGTTCCAAAATGCTCCTGAAAATTTGGATTTGAACGGTTTTGGATGCTAATTAAAGGTTCAAAGTTCACAAGCAATTTAACTTCGCTCTTGAATGCCTTCTAAAAAGCGTTTTGCAACTTTGAACCTGAATCTTAAGATTCTGGCGCTTTTCAAAATGTTTCTGGAGATTTTAGAGTGTTTGGGTGTTTTGGAGCGTCCTAAAATGGGTTTCAAACTTCTGAATTGTTCTAAAATGCTTTTGGAACTTGTGAATCGGTTTTTGAATGTTTTGGAGCATTCTAGAATGGTTCTGAAGTTCCCAAATTGTTCTGGAGTGCTACTGAATACTTTTAAATTGAATTTAAAGTGTTTTGAACTTTCCAAAAGTTTTATTAAAGTTCTAAAGTGTTCTGTAACATTCTAGATGGTTTGCAGTAACTTCTAAATTGAATAAGAAACGAATTTTGTGGGAAATTTGTAGACATCTTGAAGACGTCCCTACAAACGACATTCATGGCCGTTTGCACCGACCATTTTAAGGAAGCCTTAGCGGATAAGTATCCCTTAAAGTGACGTTTCTCCATGTAAAAATGTCATTTCAAGGAATACTTATCGCAAAGACTTCCTTAAAATGGTCGGTGCAAATGGCCATCAAAACGTCTTGCTTACGTCTTTAAGGCGTCTTAGAGAAATCTTGAAGTCTTTCAGACGTCTGCGTAAAGTAGTCTTTAGAACTATAAGACATTTTAGAGACGTCTTCAACGAGATTTCTTAAAGACGTCTTTGAATCTCTTTTCAATACAGAAACCATTATTCATTTTTAGGCCTGGTTGTACCAAATAGTTGCCTTTGAGATGTTAATTTATGATATCTTATGGACATTTTCTAGGTGTCTTTTTTCAGTCTTCAGACGTTAACAGACTCAAAAAATACGTCTTCAAGACTTCGTATGCTGCCTGGGAAGATTCCAGGCTTCTAGACTTTTGATACAAAACCTTCAAAAGCTCCAAAGAAACGGAAGATCTTGAAGATTTCGAAAGTTTTCAAGTCTCATTACCTAACATTAAAATAGTCTATCAAGATCCTGAAGACAAAACTGGAAAATAAAGTCTTCAAAGGCTCTATTAGGACTGATTGAGGATCTATGACTAAAGATTCTTGATCCAAGATTCGAAAATTTTAAAACGGCTCAAAAATTTAAAAACTTCAAACATTCTAAAGCACCTGATTCAAAGCATTTGTAGGCTCTACAAACTTTGGAGAGTTTCGAAAACTCATAACTTATCAAGTTTTTGAAGAATTTACCGATTTGGGCTCCGAAGTTCAAATATTCTAATAGAGACCCCCAAAAGTTCTCAAAGTGTCTTCAGGCTTATGAGTATAAGCTAAAGAGGCTCTTCAGATACAAAACTAACAGCTTTAGAGAATCTGTGACCTCTAAAAACTAATTTTTCAAGATCTTACCAAAAAAACTTAGGGTTTTGCTGAACAAAGACATTAGCTCTGTTCCAACTGATATGCGGACCGTTCCAGAACCAGTAATTTCCAGTTTTCCACCTATTTTTCAATAAGTTGAACGTTTATACTACTTAAAAAATGAATCGATCGACTAGAAATTACCGTTCTAGAACGTTTCTCATGTCGATTTTCAACACTGTAAATACTTCAAAGATCCTATACTTAAAGACTTAAAAGTATCATGACTTTAAACCAAAGACTTTGCGGAGAAAAAATCATCAAAGACTTCAGAGACTCTGAGGTCTCTAAAGAGACTTATTTTCAAGATTTTATATTGAGATTTTATTGTTCTGTTGATTGGAGAGTGAAGCCTACGTGAATTGAGATTGAATTCTCTAGAGATTCGAAAGAATCAAAAATTCTAATGATCATGGCTTGGATTACAAAAACTTCAAAGTTTCTTCGAGATTTAAGACTCGAACACAAGAAAATTTCAAGGATTCCAGAAGCTCTTGAACCTCATTTAGGATGAGAAAACGGCCCTCGAATCACTAGAAAAGTTTAATAGATCACTGAAGACTTACGAAGATTTTGCTAATTTGGAACTTGAAAAATTAAAATTCTAAGTTTCTTGATTTGAAGTTTCAGAAGATTTACTTTTAAGTAGGCAATACATAGGTAATTTAGTAATGTAAAAAATACAAGAACCAATATCAGTACCTATCTATAAATTTTTTTTATCTATTTGTTGTTGGTTGAATAAACTTTATGGATCCAACAATAAAGTAGGTACCTACTTACATATTCATAAATTGTCTAATGAATACTTACAGGAAATATTTTAACTATTACCCGCTTGAATCACTAAATAGTTATTTTCCTAACAATTGCGCAAAGTGATACTTTCCCGCACGAAAAAGCAGTTAGACGAACGACGCGAAGCGGAGTTCGGATAAGTTTTGAGTGCGGGAAAGACACTTTGCGCAAGTGTTAGGAACAATATTTTTTCTACAAGTATCTTAAAAAAGTAGACTTTGAATTGTTAAAATATTAGAAAAATCAATCAAATCAAAATCTTCAAAAATCGTTTAAAATCTATTGGAATTCCTCAGAATGTCTTTTAAATTAAATCCCCAAATATCTTTTCACATCTTCTTGAATTTCCAGAATCAGCAAGAATATTTTCATGAGAGTCTCTTAAATATCAAAAATTTTACAAATTCCTAGCAGTACAGGCTGGTCCAATTTGGACACCTTTGATAGGAAACATCATGTTAACTAAGCGTTAATTTCAACTAAAACCCTTCATTTTGAATATTAGTTTATTCAGAAACCATCAAAACATTGAAAAATCAAGTATAACTATGGTAATTATGCGTAACAAAAATGAGTGCGCAAAGAGTTTCCGTGCGCAAAATTCAACTTTGCGCACGCAAATGAGTGTGCAAAGTGATTACTTTGCGCACGCAAGTAGAAAAAAAAATTATTAGATGTGGAAATCAAGAGCCGAGAATAGTCCTGATTTTGATAATCACTGGCTTTTGAATCAGCAGAAAAGTTTTCTGAGGAAATCAAGAACTGGGAGTAGTTCAGACTTCAATCATTACTGACTTGATCATTAGAAAATGATTCTAAAGGGAATCAAGAGCCAGGAATAGTTCAAATTTTGATAATTACCGGCTCTTGAGTCTTCTTGAATCACTATAAACATTTTATAGAACAAGTCAAGAACCGTAAATAGTTCAGATTTTGATCATCAGTGGCTTTCGAATCAGCAGAAAAGTTTTCTGAGGAAATCGAGAACTGGAAGTAGTTCAGACTTTAATCATTACTGACTTGATTATTAGAAAATGTTCCTAGAGGGAATCAAGACCCGGAAATAGTTCAAATTTTGATAGTTACTGCCTCTTGAATCACTAGAAAAAATAGAGCAAATCAAGAGCCGAAAAAAGTTCGGATTTTGATTATCATTGGCTTTTGAATCAGCAGAAAATATTTCTGAGGAAATCAAGAGCTGGAACTACTGACTTGATTATTTGGAAATGTTTCTACAGTGAATCAAGAGCGAGGAGGTTACAACTGGACCAAAATTTGTACTTACATGTATTGCGCATTACATGCTTTTTTGAAGTAATTCCGGTAATTCCAATGTGTAATGTTAAACATTGTTGTCTTTACATATTGGCAGAGTTTTCCAATGGTTGGTATTTACGAGGGGCGGCTTACTCCCGAAATCGCTGTACATTTTCATCCGAAATCGTGAATAGCGAAATCCTATCCGAAATCCCAACCGAAATCCTTCTGAAATCCGAATAAATTTATCGAAATTCTCGAAATCCTTAGTGGTACGATGTTGAAAATCGAATATCCGAAATCTTTCGAAATCCCTTAAAAATTATCGAAATCTTATGCGATTTCCGAAATCGATGTACAAATTGTGGTGACTGAGCCGCCCTTCGATAAAAATCTAAGTTAAAAGAGACTTTGAAGCTTTGCAGGTGCAAAACTATTGAAGTTGAATTGAAATCATTCACAGGAGTTTTGTGGAGAATTTAATTGGCTTCAATTGAAGCCTAATTACATTGAGATCGGATCGAAATTCACAAAGTTGTGAGACATGGTGTCATTTTGAATAAAAATCTAAGCCAAAAAAGACTCTGAAGCTTTGCAGCTGCAAAACTGTCGAAGTTGCATTGCAATCATTCACAGGAGAAAATTTAATTGGCTTTAATTGAAGCCTAATTACGTTAAGATTGGATTGAAATTAACAAAGTTGTGCGTCAAAATGTGTTTTTCATTTCCATGCGAAATTCCTTGAAAATCTTTCGAAATTCTTTGGAAATACCGAAATCCATTCGAAATCGCGAACAGCGAAATCCTAACCGAAATCCTTCTGAAATCCCACCAAAAATTTCGAAATCCTTGAAATCCTTAATGGTACGGCGTTGAAAGTCGAATATTCGGATCTTTCGAAATCCCTTGAAAATTGTCGAAATCTTATGCGATCTCCGAAATAGATGTACAAATTGAGGTGAGTGTACCGCCCCTCGGCCGCGGCTAACCCCCGAAATCGCTGTACATTTTCAACCGAAATCCCTTGAAATTCTTTCGAAATCCATTCGAAATCGCGAACAGCAAAATCCTATCCGAAATCCTTAGGAAATCCTGAAATCCCAACCGAAATTATTCCTTCTGAAATTCCGGAATCCCAACTAAAATCCTTCTGAAATCCCAAAATCTCAACCGAAATCCTTCTGAAATCCCAATAAATTTATCGAAATCTTTAGCGGTACGGCGTTGAAAGTCGAATATCTGAAATCTTACGAAATTGTTTAAAAATTGTCAAAATCTTATGCGATTTCCGAAATCGATGTATAAATTGAGGTGAGTGTACCGCCCCTCGGCCGCGGCTAACCCCCGAAATCGATGTACATTTTCATCCGAAATATTTTGAAATTCTTTCGAAGTCGCGAACAGCGAAATCCTATCCGAAATCCTAATGAAATCCCGAAATCCCAACCGAAATCCTTCTGAAATTCCGGAATCCCAACCGAAATCCTTCTGAAATCTCAACCGAAATTTTCCTGAAATCCCAATAAATTTATCGAAATTCCGGATCTTTCTAAATTCCTTGAAAATTGTGGAAATCTTATGCCGATCTCCGAAATCGATGTACAAATTGTAGTGGTGAGTAAACCCTTCTCGGCCACGGCTAACTTCCGAAATCGCTGTATACATTTTCATACGAGATCCCTTGAAATTCTTTCGAAATCCTTTGGAAATCACGAAATCTATTCGGAATCGCGAACAGCGAAATCCTATCCGAAATCCTTATGAAATCCCGAAATCCCAACCGAAAATAATCCTTCTGAAATCCCGGAATCCCAACTAAAATCGGTCTGAAATCCCGAAATCCTTCTGAAATCTCAACCGAAATCCTCCTGAAATACCGAAATCCCAATAAATTTATCGAAATTCTCGAAATCTTTAGTGGTACGGCTTTAAAAGTCGAATATCCGAAATCTTTCGAAATTGTTTGAAAATTGTCGAATTCTTATGCGATTTCCGTAATCGATGTACAAATTGTGGTGTGAGCCCCCCTCGGCCGCGGCTAACTCCCGAAATCGCTGTACATTTTCATCCGAAATCCCTTGAAATTCTTTCGAAATCGCGAACAGCGAAATCCTATCCGAAATCCTTATGAAATCCCGAAATTCCAACCGAAATCCCAATATTTTTAATATTGGGATTGGTATTGGTAATATGGATATGATCTCTCAGTGAATATTTGGAAAATTCGAGGGTTAAAATCAACTGAACTCTCTTGAATGCAAGCGTAATTCCGCGATATTCGTACGTAATGCCTGGTAATGCCAGCATAATCCCTGCTTATACCCAGTTATGTCTCATGGTGTTAAAGTAATGCCACCATAATGCCAGTTATACGTTGTTATGCGCACATAATGCTTTATAATGCAATAAAATTTGTACATGTATTGCCACCAGTTTTTACCCCCTCGATCAAGAGCCGAAAATAGTTCAAATTTTGATAATCGCTGACTCTTGAATTACTGGACATTTTTTCTAGAGGAAATCAAATCTACAGCCAGGAATAATTCAGATTTTGATCATAACAGGCTCTTGAATCACTAGAAAATTTTTCTAATGGAAATTGAAAGCATATGGAATGGTTCTGTTGCCTCTAAAAACTTCAAGATCTTAAAACAAAAACTTAGGATTTTACTGAATAAAGAGGTATTACAATTATCTTAGGATTTGAAAAAGATCAAAGTAAAAATTCAAAGGCATTTGAAGACTCCTTTGAAAAAGTCTTATATGCTCATGACTTATAAGGACTAAAAACCGATTCACGACCCAAAGCCTCTGAGACGCCCAAAAACTTAAAGATTTCGAAGATTCTATGGCTCTTGATTTAAAGTTGTTTAACACTTCAAAAACTCCAAAGACTTAAAGAAAATGTTATGACTTCAAACTAATGACGATTTGGAGACAAAATCATCAAAGACTTTAGAGATATCTGAGGCGACTGAAGAGACTCATATTGAAGATTCTAGAATGAAATGTTAAGATTTAACTGATTGAAGACTTATTGGGATTGAATTCTATAGGGATTCGTAAGAATCTAAAAATGTAGACTTCAGAATTCGAATGTTCTTGGCTTCAAGCCATTGAAAACTGCAGGGATTTTGAAAACTTCGATGTACCTTGGGATTTCTAAGACTCTATTTCGAACACAAAACACTGAAGACTTCTAAGATTCCAAAAGCTTCTCAGCTTCATATATTTACTTACATTCAGACTAAGTCAAGATCCAGTACCTAGTTTAAATTTTGATCATCTGGACTGGCTTTAGAGTCAGAAAAAAAAATCTAGTGGGAATCAACAGCCAGGAATAAATAATTCAGATTTTGATCATCACTAGCTTTTGCATCAGCAGAAAACATTTCTGAGGAAATCCAGGGAAGGGAGAAGTTCAAGAAAGCATCAGATAAATCTTTGAATTACCAATTTAACTAAGGAAGCCGTCATTTGTATTTTAGATCAAACCATAATATGTATTTATGAAAGTTTCAATTGTGGTTTAGAATTATGTAGTATGCAGTATACCTTTGTCATATAATACTTCACCTTTAGCAGGTGCAAACTTGCTGTTCCTTCATTATGTCTTTGTCTTCTACTACCTACATAGAGTTTTTATATTAAAAGTGATTTAGCATAGATAAGTAATTCTGACGCTGCAGAAAAATGAATCTTCGAGACAATTGTGGTATTTGGCGAGTATCCATGTTAAAGAGATCAGTTTTACGAATGGTAACCCTCTCTTTCATGCGCATTGTGTTCAAGAAGGTAGGCTTAATATACCAGGATCTTTATGTTTTATGTTCAATGTGTAGAGTCGAAATAACTGGATTAGATAATGTGGTTCGTAGAATCAACAAAAAGCATTCTGCCCAGGATAGAAAAAGAATTTTCATGTGTGCTAACAAAGGTGAAGACTGGGTGCAGTTAGCCAAATCGTTAAATATAAAATTTAAAACTGCTTACAACTGGGTCTCATCAGGCCGTGAAGATATGAATAAAAAAGATGGTCAGAGATGTCAATCTCTGTAAGTATTTATACATACCTATGTAATCTAAAATTCAATTGCTTCAATCTAAAATACATAGGGCTTATCTAAAATACATTTCAAATTATCGATAATACAATTCTTATACATTTAAAATACCTACTTTTGAATATTTCGCAAATACTTAAATTTGAAAAATCTAAAATACATATGGATCTTTCTGAAATACAAATGTTTATTCTAAAATACAAGTGACACTTTCTTGAATCCAAGTGATACTTTCCTAAATACTGGCTGGAAATGGTGTAGAAGGAATAGTTCAAATTTTGATTACTAACTCTTCAATTATTAGAAAATCAAGAGCCATCAAGAATAATTCAGATTTTGATCATCAATTACTGGCTCTTGAATCATAATAGAAAAATTTTCTAATGGAAATCGATAGCATGGAATGATCCAGATTTTGATTGTAACCGGCTCTTGATTCGCTGAAACGTTTACACTAAAAAAATTGATTATTCAAAAAAAAAAAATAGGTGTATAGGGGAAATCATGAACCGAAAATATGTAGTTCAAACTTGAATCATTGAATCACTAGAAAAAAAAATCTAGAGCCGGGAATAGTTCACATGAAAGATTGATATTGATTTGTAACACTATTTAGTTTTGAATCTTCAGGTATAGAAACTTTTAAGTTAACCCAAAAATAAAATAATCTTGTAGGCGTTACAAAAAAGTAAAAGTAAAATTTGTAAAAATCCGTGATTCAATTCGGGTATTTCCATCAGTGAAAATTTTCAAAAGACAACCGATTTATTACTAGAATAGCTTTTTTTGTTAATTCATCAAACCGATTTTTAATTTTGTTGTTTTATAAATAATGAGCAATAATTAGCTATAATGTACTAACCTTGGTTTTGCACTCAACTTATTTTATATTCCTTACTGGGCATCACTTTAAGACTGGTTTTGTTCAGCAACTTGTTTACTTATCTTCTGTCTTGACTTTGGCTCTCCCACTATTCAAAAATACAGAGGCGCACGTCATATATGTTAATCACGATAATAATGATTTGCCAAATCTATACCAAAGAAGCAACCGGTGACGATATTTATGTTTGTTTGAATAATTATTGATTTGAATAAAATTTATTGGAATTGGAAGCATATAAATAGATAAACTGGGTTTTTTTTTCAGTAAATGTGAATCTTTTGAAGCAAACAAACAAATAATCAGGTCAAAATGATGATGATTAAACGACCTAGACTTCTAGTCCAGAGATCATGCTTTAGCGCGGGTATTATAAGACTATTTTGACAGATTAACTAAAAGTTAACTTCTGGAATGGCGTTACTTCTCATAGTAATTCCAGAAGTTAACTTTCAGTTATCTGTCAAAATGGTTTGATAATACCCGCCCTTAGGAATTCGATAAAAGATAAAATGAAATGCAAATAAATATGAAAAAGTTCTACTTTAGTTAATGGTTAACTAGCTCGCTGACTAGATGAAAGAATCAAATTAAATTTAGTGAGGTTCCCCTTTGGCCTTTGGGTGCGCCACCACTGAGCCTTGTCCAACATAGATTGGATTTTTCTATGATTTTGCAAATTATGTCAATGATTTTCCAACTTTTATTAGAACGGAATTACCAAACCAAACCAAAAGCAAAACTTATTATTTAATGAGCAATTTATCATAGCATACAAGGATAAAGACATTGAATTCTTCTTATGTGACCTCGCCTTTTGTAAAATTGACATTGAATGAAACCTAATATGTAGATATCTTGATGTAGATAAGTTTTATGCATTTAATGTAAATTATGCTCAAAATTGTTGAGATTTCAATTTTTCTACTTTCGTCAGTAGGTACTTTCTATACTTTGATGGTCAACATCTGATCGATGCTGTTATGCAAAAGACCAAGAACGGGTTGGGTAAATCCCCAATAATTAACGTGTAATTAGCATAACGGATTTTTATATTTTCAGAGGATTATGTCAGTAGTGTCAGATGATAATTTTTCGTTGCTCTTTTATTGAAACTGAAACAAAAAATGTGTGTAAAATTGCTTTTTTTTTAGGCATGTAATCTGAGAAGACGTCGACTATCACCTGGTAAATGGACATTATGGACATTATACATAACATTTCCAGTTTTTTCAATGATTACCCCTGGCATCCAAGTATCTTCTAAATATTTTTTCATGATACGAAAGCTATTATGATGAAAATGGCGATCATTATAGGGAATATTTTTTCTATCTTGTGATTCTTGGTATTCATCTACAATGCTTGATTTGTGTGACATCAGCAAATCTATTACTATACCCTTGTTAGAATATATTGAATCCCCTTCTCTAAACAATCATTCTGAAAATTTTCACTGGTAAATTGCAAACCATTATTAGATACAATAGTATTAGGAATTCAGAATCTGGAAATAATTTCTTCTAGCTTCAAAATCGTGAGTTTTGAAGTTAGATTTCTTGTTGCGAATACTTCTGGCCACTTGGAAAAGGCATTTATGATTACCAAATAATAATTTCCATTCACAGCACCTAATGCACAGTCTATGTGAAGTCTCTCGCAAACATTCTGTGCATTATAAATTTTCATCAGAATTCTGTCCAGAAGCCAGAATGTCATCGATATATGCTGCAGTAACTTGTAATCCCATATATCATAGTATCCATATAATCTGTTGAAAAATAGACGGTGCTACTTTGATACCAAAAGGCATTCTATTATATTGAAATAGACCTTGATGTGTATAAATGCTTAAATATTGTTGGTGCTACTTTGATACCAAAAGGCATTCTATTATATTGAATTAGACCTTGATGTGTATAAATGCTTGAATATTTTTTGGAATTTTCAATTATTTCAATTTGAAGATATGCGACAGGAAAGATCCACAATGCTGAATACGATGGCATTTGCAAGTTTGGAAAATATGTCTTCAGCGGCAATGGATGAGATATTAATGCCTGATGCAATCCAGTAGAATAATCCCCACAAATTCTCACAATTTCGTTAGCTTTTCTGGAAACAACTATTGGTACTGCCCAGTCAGGATATTCCATTTTGGATATGATGGACAAATTTTACAATCTTCTAAGTTCTTCATCGACGTGAATCATTATTTGTAGGCACTTGACTGCGCAACTTCTTTCCCATTTGGTCTACCCTGTATCTTCAATGGTTTGCAAAATCCCCATGTACTTCAAGTTATTCCGGACACCCTGTGTATAGTCGAATATCGCGGAATTACGCTTGCATTTAATGGAGTTGCGGTTGATTTTAATCCTCGAATTTTCCAAATATTCACCGACAGATCATATTCATATTAACAATACCAATCCCAATATTAAAAATATCTTTGGGTAAGTTTGTGTATCTATAGAAGGAAAATAATTTCACATATACAGGATGAAGCAAAAAAAAGTTACCGTAAAATATGTATTTGTTTTAAATGGGTCTGTTAGTCTGTTCTCGCAAAAAACACAAACCAGTCGGAGCGAATTTCATTGGTAGAAAATAGTTAAAAAGCTTGTGTGTTGTTAGCGATTTGCACAGAGAAAACAACTGGAGATGGGAGAAAACGAGTTTCAATTTCCTGTTCTAGCTTGACTATATACTTGAGAGCTATTCAGAGGTTGTTATAATGGTGATACCAAATTTGGTATTCATACTACCATCATCGAGACCACCATGGGTATCACCTTATTGAAATGTTAAGATAGAATTTTTTTTTTGCGTACAATCCAAAAATAACAATCAGTCTTATGAATGAAGTATAGCAAAAATGCTTTCACTCTACCTCTATCTCTTTTTACTGCATTAAAGCTGAATATGTTTATCTCAAAAAACTTGAGTAAATAGTCAGGGGCCAATATGTAATCCGCTTGCAAAAAAGTGAGGCAAGTAATGACTCATACTTGCATACACCATTTTTTTTAGAAAAATGAGCAGATTTAATTTTTTTTTGGTACCAAGCCTTTATGTATGTCAGAAGGGAGAAACAACCCCTATTAGAGATTAAGGGGTAGTAAATAAGTAATACCCTCAATACCGGTCAATAGTACGACGGTCGAAATTTGATCGTGGCGCCATCTAAGACAAAGATTCAACACTAAACAGCAATTATTGCTGTAATTTAGTGATTGACTATCTAATCGGCGGACCAAAATTCAGTTCGTGGAAAAACCCAGAATAGAAAAACCTATTATCCACTGATGAGAAAATTTTGGATTGATTTTCTCTGCTTTTCCATCCATAGACGCGTTTCGACCTATCAGGTCTCATCAGCATGGCTAGGAAAACCAAAGAAAACCAATCCAAGTTTTGTGCCTAGGCAAAATACAAATAGTACGACGTCGTGGATAATAGGTTTTCCTATTCTAGGTTTTCCCACGAACTGAATTTTGGTTGGCCGATTAGATAGTCAATCACTAAATTACAGCAATAGTTGCTATTTAGTGTTGAATCTTTGTCTTAGACGGCGCCACGATCAAATTTCGACCGTCGTACTATTTGTATTTTGCCTACAGGCACAAAACTTGGATTGGTTTTCTTTGCTTTTCCTATAGCCATGCTGATGAGACCTGATAGGTCGAAACGCGTCTATGGATGGAAAAGCAGAGAAAATCAATCCAAAATTTTCTTATATGTCAATGTAATGATCCTTTTTTGCATACCATAAGTGTCATGATGTTTACAAAATAGTTTCCAAGGATGTTGAAACTGATTTTTGGGGTTGTTTGACGCCATATTTATTTTTGAGGGATGATCTTTAACTTTTTTATTTTAAATTCTTTGTATACAATAAGTATGGGTGTCGATTTCATATAACTTTGGGATGACTAACTTAATGGTATAGATTATATCGCTTTAGGGTTATTTGCAAAGCCCTGCAACCTTTTTGTTTATATTTATACATATACCCGATCAGACTTTTCAACGAAAAACAAGTTTTTATATTGTCAAATTTTCATTGGAATGTTTTACAATTTACAAGACTTATTTAATTTAATAAAGTATTGAATGCGGGTATTCGTAGTTCTCATGAAATATTCAAAAGTCCAAATCAGAATCTTCCAGTGGATCCTCATAATTACTGTCATTAGATGAAGTAACATTATCGCAATTGGCCGTGTCTCCAGAACATTCGCAAATTTATGGGCAAAACAATCCGGCAGAAGCACATTTACAACGAAATTGGTACCTTAATTTATGGGTTCGTATTTGCCATTTTCCATTTTCCAGCCATAATCATCCGGTAATGGAAGGTTTGGATGAGCTGATGTATCACGACACCACTCTATACATTGATGATGACATCGCCTTATGGGTGGTTTTAGGGCGGTAAGGCATCAGAACTTTTTTTTTTTTCAAAAAGGTCCACCATCTCAACTCGGACAGTGCATCATCGTTTTGGGCATAGAGAAAACATATAAATTGTTTAATTTTAGGAAAAAATTATTCCTGAATCTCTTCGGTTTTACCCAAGAATGCCAGAGTTTCCTGAGTATTTGTCGAAGATAATACTTTTTTTTTCCAAAATGTAGTTTTTGATTTTCCTCCAAAAGAACCCGTTACATCTGCGCCAGACAATGCATGGAAACCGGGAACCGCTGCAGCTTTCAGGGAACCTAATTTATTATAGATGGTCTGCAATGGAAACTCGCGGCTGTTAGAACCTATTTTTACAAAATCTGAATTACTTGCCAAGAGAGAAAAGCGTCTTATAGCTAATACTAAAACATCCGTTCAGGAGAAAAATTTCCAATTTTACTTGCTTCTTTACTAGATGCTTGTACTGCATGTAATAACATTTTTTGTGTATCTGCCCTTCGTGACTGCTTTCTAGAAATGACATATCCATCTAGTAAAAATATTTTGATCTTGTCGTAATTCGATGACTCCGTGCTTAGTAGTGACTTTGACTTTCTTTTTCATAGAACTTATAGCTTAATTTTTTAATGCCTTTACTGGATCCCAAAAACTGACTTTATATGTTTTAATTCTGCTCTTATGAAATACATATATCACCATGGTCTTTCCTATATCAGATATACCTTG